TGACATGTACAAAACAAGGCTTGTGGCTACGGGTTTTAATCAAATGTTAGGGTTGGACTATACAGATAGTTTTTCCCCTATTGCCAAACTGGTAACAGTGAGAATACTACTTGCACTTGTGGTGTCTAAAGGTTGGGCTTTGCACTAAACTGGACATTAACAATGCTTATTTACATGGCTATATTGAAGAAGATATTTTTATGAATATCATGGATGGCACCAACAAAGGAAAACAAATTTTTTGAAGTACTTTGTTATTTGATGTACATTATTGGCTATAGATCTGCTTTCTTATTAGAGGTTGTGATTGAGTAGTTAAATAATGGATTAGTGGCCATTTTTGAGTTGGAGAAAACTGATATAAAGATAATAAGGTGTCCCTTGCACTTTTACATGAAAGATTCAAACTATATCAGGACAATAGAATTAGTCTAGTAGCTTATGCTTTGTTTACGCTAGGCAAAATATTGCCTCCACAGGAAAAGGGCGCGCCTATTATGTACCTTGAAATTTTAAGACATAGAGAATATAGCAAAAATATGCTTGGAGGCTGCAGTTGTTGCCCATCTAATTTCACCCATAAATCTATTGAAGAAACATATCAGGATTGGCACCAATAGTGGCAAACAAAATTTTTTATGTACTTCATTATTAGAGGTACATTACCGATAATATATGTAATTTCTTATTAAAGGTTGTGATTAGGGAGTTAGAAAATGGATCAGAAGCCATTTTGGAGTTGGAGTACACAAATATTATAATGTGTCCCTTACACTTTTACATGAAAGATTCAAAAATTATCAAGACAATAGAATTAGAGAAATAGCCTATGTTTTATTTACACTACGCAATATTACTTCCGGAGGGTAAGGGCACGCCTATAATGTATCTCGAAATTTTAAAAGACATAGAAAATATAGGAAAATATGTTTGGGAGCTGCATTTCTTGCACATCTAATTTTATCCATTAAGCTATAGAAGAAATATATTAGGGATGGGACCAATGGACGGAAACAAGTCTTTGGATGTACTTTTTTATAAGAAGAACGTTACCAAATGTATACATACTTTCTTATTATAGGTTATGATTGGGTAATTAAGCAATGGATCAAAGGCCATTTTGGAGTTAGAGAACACAAATATAAAAGAGAGTAATGCGTCCCTCCCACTTTTACATGAAAGATTCAAAAATTTTCATGACAATAAAATTAAAGCAATAGCCTACCTGTTATACGCTAGGCACAATATTGCTTCCCGAGGGAAAGGGTGTGCCAGTAATGTACCTCAAAATTTTAAAGATATAGAGATTATAGGAAAATTGCTTGGGAGTGTTGCAGTTCTTGCACATGTAATTTTATCCATCAAGCTATGGAAGAAACATATCCAGGATGACTCTAAAAAAGGCAAACAAATTTTTGGATGTACTTTGTTATTAGAGGTACGTTATTGGCTTATATGTACTTTCTTATTAGAGGTTGTGATTGGGGAGTTAAGAAATGGATTAGTGGCCATTTTTGAGTTAAAGAAAATAGAAATAAAAGAGAATAAGGTGTCCCTTACGCTTTTACATGAAAGATCAAAAAAAAAAAACATCACGATAATATAATTAGAGTAATAGTCTATACTTTATTTACGTTAGGCACAATATTGCTCCAAAGGAAAAGGGTACGCTTGTAATGTACCTCGTGATAGGTCTTATATTTATAATATTTTTAATATAGTTTTTATTAGAATTTTTATAGTTTTTAATTACTTTAATTAATTCTGTCTAAATTTACATCAAAGAAGGTTGAAATTGAAAAATAGAAGATAAAAGCTCAACATGGCCAAGTCAATGAAGTGCACGGCTGACTATGGCACATAATACGACCGTGTCTCCAAGAAAGCTGAAATTTCAAGTGGTCGAATTTAACTATTTAGCCCTTGTAAAATTGAAGCCTGTGTGTGTCTTATGCATGGAGCTGCATGGGAATAGTAGAAGACACGCCTTGTTTGAGTTATAGCTTTATTTGGACAAAGAAAACTCATAATTAGGAAGAAATATTAGACTAAATTAGTTTCCTATTCAAATAATATTTCATCCTAATTAGGCTAGCTAGTTTCTTACTCGGACTCGAAGATACCCTACGAAGTCTATATAAAGAGAGGTCACTACAACATTGGATATTCTAGATCTTAAATCTTTTGTTCTACTGTTTTTATAGTTTTCTTTCTTTTAAAACTTCGAGCATTCAAGTTTGTGTAAAAATTAAAAGAAGTCATCCATGCTATTTGTTGACTAGTTTTTATTTCTAAATTCTTCTCTTGTTTATTTTTCATTGTGGGATTATTAATAAGTTTAATGATTTAATTTATTTACTAGGGATATGATGTAGCTTACTTTAACTCCATTTTAAAATATTAGATTTCATTTTATTTATTCAAGTAAAATTTATTATTGATCTTAATACTTTCAAACAGAATTTCTCCACTAGATTAATTTATTTCATTAATCACTATTGAGAGAATGGTTTTTGATATGAACAAGGTGATTTCATAGGAATAATAACTTAATGCAAGATCTAGATTGTCTGACTCGTGGAAGGTTTTCATAAAAGTAAAGGCCTTAATTCGTGGATTCCTGAATAATCATAAAACTTAATGATTTAATCTATATTTGGTTGCGTCATTGAGAGATGGGTAATTAAATTGAGTTAAAATAGCTAATAAAACATCGAAAGATCTTATTAGCGATTTTAGAGTTATTTCTCCTTCTTGAATAATTAACATTGATTATCAAACTAATAGAATAAATTGGATAGAATTAAGTGAAATCAAAATCCCTAGTAACCTTTAAACCTTGATTCTTCTCAAACAATTACATATTTGATTTCTTTCTCATTACTCTATTTTATTCCTTTTATTTTACAATTATTCTTCTTATTGTTGTTTAGATAATAATAGGTTAATACAATTTCAGTACCTGTAAACGATACTTTATTTATTCTTTATTATTTATTATGATTTTGTACACTTGTGAATTTGCACTGTTAAGTTTTTGGCACCGTTGCCGGGAATTGGTGATGAATGTATTATTTTATCTTTTTTTTTTTCAATAATAAATGATGAATGTATTTCTGTTTTCCTTTAAAAAAAATTATATTGTAAATGGTTTTAACAAATTTTGGTAAAATTAAAAAGTTAAATAAGTAAAAAATAGAAAATATCACTTGTAGGAAAGAGAGGGTAATTTTATGATAAAAAGTTAAATTATTTTGTTTTAGGAATTCATTTTGGAAATTTCACCTATTTTTATGGAATTTAGTGTACTTATATTCAATTCCATAGAATTGAATTCCTATATTTAAAACTGATTTTTTTTTCATTCCAAAAATAAAATATGGATTTTTAAGTGAATTCCACCAAATTTCATGGAATTCATTTGTTTTCAACTTTTTTTTTTTTTTTTTTTTTTTACTTTTTTTTTTTTTTTTTTTATTTTTTTGGCAATATTAAGCAAGGTGAATGGATGTGATCGGTATTTCACAATTCTTTCATTCTTAAAAGTTTCCAAAATATTAGAGAAAAAATATGTAATTAATTTTAAGAGGTCTCGTGATCAAAATCTTTACCCTTTTACTCACTCTATAGCTCATTTCTTTTCAACTTTTTTTTTTTTTTTTTTTTTTTGGAATATTAAGAAGGATGGATGGATTGATTGGTATTTCACAAGTTCTTTCATTCTAAAAGTTTCCAAAATATTAGAGAAAAAATATGTAATTAATTTTAAGAGTTCTCGTGATCAAAATCTTTACCTTTACTCACTCTTATACTCATCTACCAATTCAAAGGAAAAAGAATAAATCTAATTAATGCACCTTTTGTGCATGAGTTTAAAATGTTCATCTAGTTGTTTATATTCTTATTTGAAGAAACACTATAATCGGTGTTCTTTGATCTATTCCTGTATATTTCTTTTAGATTTCCACTCTTTTTGCATATTTCTTCTAGGTTTTTTTACTTTACTTTTTCAAGTTGGGTTTAGGTATATTGGGAAGCCTACTGACTTAAACTAATTGTTTGGTTAAGTTAAATTTTTTTCTGACATATTAATAAAATAAATTGAATTTGTTAATAAAAAAAATTAATGCCAGTTAATTCAACACGTATAAAGCACAAACGGGTAGCTTAAAAATTATAACTTGTACATTTATTTCGTGCAGGACTTTGCAACCAAAAACAACCATAGTAATTAATTAAAGTAAACCACTTCCTTTTTCTGTTCTTTCCAGGTTGGTTTTTATAGTACGTAATGCAGGGATAACATGTTCTTGTTTTGTTTGTTTGTGCTAAATCTAACATCAGATAAGAAGAAAGCTAATAAAAAGTACAGCCATTTTTGGCTTTGTCATTAATATATATACTGTCAGTTGTCAAAAGGGCAACTGTAAATTAGGCCACCAACCTATAGGAAATGACTTGTACGAGACAAAAACTTAATTTGTTGTCTGCTACCTATAATTTTTCATAGTCAAATTGCCAAACAAATGATCTTAATCTTAGCTCACCGCCACCAACAACTTAGATACTGCTGCTAGCGGGTTAAGATTGTTACGACATAGTTCATGTGTTTCAAATAAGGGTGTAATTAGAATTAAACTTCAAAAAAGGGTTTAATTAGAATCCAACTGCTCTAAACTATATATTAAACTATATATTGTCTATTGTTTTCAAGTCTCTAGTGATCAAATTGAGCTTTATTTCTAATTTTTATGTTATATAATTTAAAATTTTTAATGGACTGTATGTTCCTTCTTGTAATGCATATATAGTTTAGTTATAGATCCAGATTTAAATATTTCTTTTTGTATTCCTTCTTGTTCGAATGGTATTTGCACATTCGATTGCTTATAGATCTAGATTCAAATTTCCTCCCATTATTCAAAATATATATATAATAGCTACAACCCTTCATGCCATATGATCTTAACATAATTTGAGAAGTCATGAAATTCTTGAACTGAATAACAAATAAGACCCTGAATACTGTATAACTTTAACATTGTGTATAAAGTCGTGAAATTACATAATTCAATACAACTTGAATGACAATATATACTACTGAAAAAAAAAAATTCATATAATATATCAAACAGTTTTAGACCAGAATCCCAAACTCAGGTCAATTTTTTTAAAACAAAAACAAATTTGAAAAAAGAAACACATAATTAATTATTTAATCCATCATCCCGCCAAACACACCTCCTTTTCCACTTCCTCTTCATCAATCACCTTCTCTTGTTCTTACTTCCTAGCAACAAAGAGAAGTAAAATAAAATTCTAAAAAAGAATCCCCAAGCCACTGTTACCCAAAAGCAATTCCACTTGCTTAGATCAGTTATCCCTTGTTGCTGCAATATACCAGAGCCAGTAGTTAAGCATGTAGAGCTTGTTATCTTCATTCCCAAAGTACTACTTAATGTCTGCAACAATCTTACTTTCATGGAGTCGGGTACTGACCCGAGTGGAGTATTGTCGAAAATTTGAACTCCTCTTACGAAACACTTTGTGGGATCTTGAAATTCATTTTGTAAAACAGCTTCATATGGGTATTTAACGAGAGACAAGTAATGAAACCAAATCCAGTAAGACGGGATTCGATCACGATTAATGAAGAAGCCACTGAAGAGGAGGAAATAAGCTAAAATAGCTACAACTATAGTGTAACCAAGCATAACATGAGGCACAACACCAGAAAGAAATGTAACGAATGAATTCCCGGCCCAGAAAGAGGCCAAAATGATTATGAAATAGAAGAAGAAACCCGAAAACCCTCCGTCTAGCCCCACAGCCCAAAAGGTGATGGCGGAGAAGGCAAAAGAGAGGAAAATCAATGCAGGTAAAGAAACAATTGCATGAGATAACACATAAGATGATCTCCTATAAGCATTATAAGCAGTTTCTCTCATGAAAATGTACCTTTCTTGAAGAAAGACGGGAAGAGCATCAGCACAAGTGTAGAAGGTAGTAGACATTGCAAAAGCGAAAAACCCTAATCTCTCTTGAACTCCTTTAGGTGAACTATCTAGCTGCCAAAACATGGTAGCTAAAATAAAGCCTGTAACTAAAACTGCACCCAATCTAATTCCAAACAGTTCAGGCACCCTTTTTGAATTTGTCACTGATCTTTTAGATAAAACTGCCATTTCAATCCAAAATGGATTAGCAAATGTAGGAACCATCGAGTTCATGCTCGAACCATTGTTAGTAGCACCAGATACTAATTTCCCTTTCGAGATGCTTGCACTTATTGCTTCTTTTAACGACAAACCGTTTCGCTCCGGTTCTGTGTTTGGAGTGTGCTTCATATTTTGCCATGATTTATTAAACTCCACTAAGCTTTTAGTACCTCCTGGAGACCCTTCAAGCTCTCGAATAAGATCCAATGCAAATTCTGTCTTGTTCTCATTTTCCGGTATTGGATGGCCAAATTCGGCGAAAAACGCCGGAAGATGAACCGGGGAGCCACTGTAAACTGTTTGACCCCGAGATAGAAATATTAACCGATCTAACAAACCAAGAATCCGATAACTCGGCTGGTGTACTGACATTATGACTATACTCCCTGTCTGTGCTATTCTCTGCAAGACCTTCACTACCATGAAAGCACTAGTAGAGTCCAAACCTGAAGTCGGTTCATCAAGGAATAGTATAATTGGGTCATGGATTATATCAATTCCAATTGAAACACGACGTCGTTCTCCTCCTGAAACGCCACGATGACCTTCGTCTCCGATAATTGTTTTTGCGGCGTTTCTCAGCCCTAACTGATCGATTAATGCTTGGACTCGCATTTTCTTCTTCGACTTTGATAAACTCCTCGGCAACCGAAATTCGGCCGCGAACATGAGCGTTTCTTCGACGGTGAGCATCGGGAATAGTAGATCGTCTTGCATCACATAAGCAGATATCACCTTTAACATTCGAGATTCCAAAACTTCGCCGTTTAATGTTATCGACCCTTTCAAGCTTCCTTTGGCTATCCTGTTCGCTAATGCATCAATCAACGTTGATTTTCCCGAACCACTAGCTCCGAGCACAGCGAGGATCTCTCCATCGTGAGCCTCACCAGAGATGTCATTGAGTAGAGTCTTCGTTGTAGTAAATAGGCTTTCTCCAGCCACAGGCTCCGCCGCAGTAGCAGGTCCAAGGTGATGGCGCCGCGGGGTGAAAATAGCCGGTAGCTTCATTTTCCGGCGGACTTTGACACTGTAAGTCAGATTATTAAATGAGAGAATGAAAGGAATAGACCTCGGCACCTCCATATTCGTATCACCGAACTCAAGCACTTGGTGAACCGGGGTTTCACTTCCGTCTCCGTTTGCTTCCTTCTGTACATCACCAACGCGCTTAAGCAACTGGCCAAGAGTGGGAGAAACGCCGGCTGAAGGGCGTGAGGGAAACCGATCAAGCTCCATACTTTGAGTGTAAAACGTCACCGTATTGGAATCATGCGAGAAATTGTCAGCTACGACGCGTGACATTTATAATTGGTTTTGATTCTAACGATTTCTAAGGGCGTGTTTATAGAGATTTTGTATATGTGGAGCGATAAAGTAGAGGATATCGATGACGGCGTGAAGGAAGTTGGAGTAGCATACGTTATAGAGAGATACGTGAGCGGGACAACGGGAGGTAAACAGCGTGAATCACGAAAAATGAGGAGCTGCTGGTGATGTTTTAAGGCCGTGTTTGGGGATTAGAATTACAGAGGAGGAGAAGGAAGAGGAAGAGGAAAAGGAAAAGTTTTGGTTTGTTATGGTTGTTTTAGAGTGTGCTTATATAGGGAGTATTGTTAGAGCATAAAAATGTGAAAAAGGGTTAGTGTGTGAGTTTTATTTTAAGTAAATTGGGGATGTAGGTTAGTGTTTTTATTGAAAGAGGGAGGTGAGAAAAAGGTCACCTAAAACTTCCTAATCTGTTCTTGTCTTATACGTCTTTCCTTTACTTGGAGGGGAAAATCGGTGATGACACTTGGGTAACTTTGTTTGGTCAAAGATGACACGTGGAGAAATGGGTTTTGATGTTGCGATTTGCATGTTCTATTGTATTAATTGAAAGTAGGTTGGATGTTGATCTACTGTGTGCGTAAGCTATAGATAGTCTAACAAGTACGAAGAGAGTTAAGATGAAGTTTGCTCCTTTCTTTTGTTTTGTTTTTTTGGCAAAAAGTTAAGGTGAAGCCAATGAAGTGGTAGCGACGCAGCGGAGTTAGGGTTTCAGCTTTGGGGCGGCCATGAAGTTTTTACCAAGAATCTAAAAATATGATTTTTTTTTTTTTTTTTTTTTTTTTTTTTTTTCTTTTTTTGGCAAAAAGTTAAGGCTGAAGCCAATGAATAGGTAGCGACGCAGCGGAGTTAGCGGTTTCAGGCTTTGGGTGCGGCCATGAAGTTTTTTACCCAAGAATTCTAAAAAATATTGATGTTTTTTTTTTTTTTTTTTTTTGTTTATCTATATAGTTACGGGGATCGATAAAATAAATAGCGAGCTGCGATCAACTTTGCAATAGCTCTTTTTTTTTTTTTTTTTTTTTTTTTTTTACTGATATAGTACGGATGATAAAATATAGCTAGCTGATCAACTTTTCAATAGTTATTTTTGATAATTTATTTCACAAAGCAAAAAATTTGTAGCATTTAGATATTTAAAATTATTTGCACTGAATTCTTACTTATGTGCAGTGATGGAGCCAGAATTGAAGATAAAAAAGAGAAAAAAATTTTCAAAAGTTGAGAGAGTTCAATTAAAAAAACACAGTATTTTAAGGGATAAAATTAAAAACTTTTAGAAATTTATAGGTGAATTTTTGAAAAAAAATTGTGCTGAGAGGGCGTTGACCACACCTGATCTCCTCCGCTTATGTGGAGTGTGGGAGATTTTAGTTTCAAAACTTTCGGACCATAAAAATTTTTATCAATTTGGTTATAAAAGGAAACGCTAACCCTATTATAGCCATAATATTCTTTTCTTTCGGCTACTTAAACATCCTAAAATTTAAAAAAAGAAAAAAAGGGCTTGAATTTGAGCATATTAATTGTAGTATTTTATTCTACCAACTAGAAAAATAAATGTCTTCTAAATTCTAACCAGAGGCTTGCAAAAGTTTGGATCTATAATAAATATTTCATTGACTCCTTGAAAATTAAAATAAATTACTACAAGAAAATAAATATTGTATGGAGGCTTTAAAAACGGTCCAATGTATAAATTCATCCATGTATTTTACGTAGTGGCACCCTCAATTTTTATTTTGATCTATTAAACACTTCAATTATAAAATTGTATCAATTAAATACTTCAACTTGCAAAAATTATTCTATTGAATACTCAAAACTTTTAAAATTAGGTCAATGAAACACTTACTTGATAGTTGAAAATATTAAAATTATCAATTGTTCCAAAAATTATACTAACCACGTGTCAAGTGAATATTTTGCACATGAATATCAAAAACATCAAAAAATGTTATTATTAATATAAAGACAGATACAATATTAGCAAAATTTGTAATTTCAAGAAAAGTTCAAAATGTCACAAACTTTTTTTCTATAAAGTACATGCATATATTTATGCATTTGGCCCTTTGAAAATATTGTAGTGACAATGATTTGACAATAAAAAGCAACACGTAAAGAAAATTGATCTCGTTGTAGTTCTTGAATTTTGCATGTTTGATTGATTTGGTTGATTGTTAGCTTTTCTGTGTCTTTTAAGTTTAGCTTTTAAAATGTTATCGTGTGGTTATCAATTATAAGTAGTTCAAGTATTCTTCAATTACTCCAATTTCTTTTAAAGGAAGGAAACATGGAAAAGTGGTACATAACTCCAAAACTAACAAAATGGCATAAACAATAATGTAATAATATTTAACATCACTATAAACACTAATGCATCTAAATAATTAACTTTTGGAAGTTATGCGATATCTTGCGAGGTACAAATCTGTGGATAAAAGTATACTCGGATAATCACAACGATGTTTAAACATAAAATGACAAATTGAAATTTAAAAGTATGAGTGCATGCAACCACTCGGATGCTTAAATTAGAAGAAGTTACAGAAGATTTAGGGAATTGATTAAAATGTATCTTGACGAAGGACGCAAGATATTTTATATAGAGATCTAAAAGACTTCTTTTTAGTTAGTTTGATGAAATTTTAGTATTGATTGTTGTTAAAATATAAAAAGGCCATATTAAAATGATGGATTAATTAGAGTTTTTTTTTTTTTTTTTTTTTTTTTTTTTTTTGCATTAAAAATGTTAATTCTTGACGAAGGGACGCAAGATATAATTTATATAGAAGATCTAAAAGACTTCTTTTTAGTTAGATTGATGAAATTTTTTTAAGTGGCTATTGGTGATGGTTTTGTGTGTAAAATTATTAATAAACGTGTCTGGTGCTCAATATAAAGTTTATGTGTATGGTATGGGTGTATGTGATGTGTTAGTATTAGAGTTTTTTTTTTGTTGTTTTTTTGTTGGTTTTTTTTTTTTAATTTTTTCTGATCAAATGCGGTGTTTTTAGGGATTATATTACGAAAATATTCAGGTTTTTCTCAAATACTACCTAATACGTCTTAGTTTTCTTAGTTTAATTAACTCCAAGCTTTTGATCCTTATTTAAGTTAACGTTTAATTCTGCAGAGTTACGGATAAGTGAAAATTGAGACCCAAAAGGCAGAACTATCCTTTTGAAGATCAAAAACCAGAGTTTTTTTTTTTCCCGTCAAGCCGCATAAAGTTAAAACTTTAAAGAATTTTTTTTTTTTTTTTTTTTTTTTTTTTTTGAAAGAGAAAGGACTAATTAGGTTTCTTAGTTAATTAACTCCAAGCTTTTATCTTTATTAAGTTAACGTTAATTTGCAGATAGTGAAATTGAGTACCCCAAAAGGAGAGATTTGAAGATTCAAAACAGAGTTTTTTTTTTTTTCCCTTTGTCAGCGTGAAATAAAACTTGTTAGTGATGAAGTAATCTTAAGGGTATGGGTGAGTATTTGGTCAATTTGATTAATTTGGTCAATTTTGCCAACTCGATTTAGTGAATAAATATTCGATTAAAATTTTAATTAAAAAATTAAAATTTTCAATAACTAATTATACGTTCAGTTAAAACTTAATCAAACCGAATTAATTAAATTTACTGAATTTACATTTATCCAAAAATTTTCTCTCCTTCTCAGCATTATACCATGTGTCTTGCATATGCCAATTTAAATTGAAAATCAAATTGGGACATACAACAATTATTTAGAACAAGGTCTCTTTCTGTTATTATTACATCTAAAATTGATCTTATAAAACCTATGCCAACCCTTGCAAAGGCTATTACCAAGATTTCTTGAGTAAGGCCTCTTAGATAACTTCAACTTCATTTAACGTACCGCTTAGCGTTTTGACAATTAAAATCATGTTTGATAATAATGTTTAACCTACTTTTAATGTTTTACTTAAGATAATGATGTAATGTTTATACTAGTATTTCGAAAACTAATATTTATATTAGTATTTCGAGCTTGAAGGAATGAATTATAAAATAACAGTTCATTTAACATTAAATGAAACACTAGTAATACAGCCGACAGCTAACAAATACTAAAATAATTAATTTTTTTGAATATGGCTTAAAGTCAAAATATTACATTTATTATTTAGTGTTGAAAGGCTTAATATTTATACTAATAGTTCAAGTTTGAATAAACATTTGATGATATACTAATAAACCATATAAAACCTAATAATCTATTTCCAAGTGATCGGAACTAAGATGATATTCAAATACCTTTCATTCAAAAGTGATTTCAAGTTTAAACTTCTTCTTATAAATAAAAAAAATTCATCCGTAATGCAATTCAATCCAGTGATGGTGGTCGGTGGTAAACGATGATAGGTAGAGACTAGGATGATTAATAAATTAAAAAATATGAATTTATAAAAATTGTCAATGTCTAAAAAATATTTTACTCACTCGAAAATGGGAAGTTATTTTCCTAAAAAAATGACTTAATTTTTCTTTAACCAGGAAAATATTTTTCATTGGCTTATTTTCCTAAACACTCAAAAAGTGGAAAATTGTAGAAAAAATTTTCTTGCAAGTTATGTTCCGAAAACAAACGGAACCTTGATATCACACCAATTTATTTATAATTAAATGCATATTAATTAATCCATTTATATATAATAAAAATAACAGGAGATGTAACACTGCTTCCATTAAATTGTATGACGGATTAATATTTTAAGAAAATAAAAAATAAAATAGTCACCAACAATTTTCTGTTACAATGCATATAAGAAGAGGAGGAAAAGAAGTGATACCAAATTAAGGAGCTGACCCTTAACTAACAACCCATCTGGCTCTGGCTTTGTCAATTTGGATAATATAAAATAATTTGTTTCTAGAAATAGAACATATTAATCTAAATTTGGCAGCCAAGAAAGAACTACTATAATATTTTTTAATCCAACAGTATATAGGCAAGAAGTTTTTTTTTTGTTAGTAGAAAAGCTATAAGAGTTCTTTTGCCGTTCGTCAAACTTAAGAAGTTTCAAAATTAAGAAACCAAAAATTATATTTATAATCTTGTTGAATAATATGATGTAAAAAAGAATTATATAAAAAAGAAAAACAAATTAGAATAATAATACAATTGTTAAGACTGAAGAAAAGCAATTAGGGTTCAATAGTTTAGTCTCTCTCCTGAAAATTTCTAATGTACAAACAAAAAACATGAAGAAATTAATGAGTGCCTTGTGAGTTATGGAATTCATTATGCAGCTTGCCTAAGTTACCCATAT